CCTTCCGAGGAGTGGCTGGTGGGTTTGAACTGCCAGCCTTCTGGTTAGCAGCAGTCAAATGCCTTAGGCACTATGCCACCAGAGTCCCCATCATTATTACTTGCAAACTGTCTTTATTGCACTAAACATTCATAAAGATTATTTTCCTATTGAAATCTCAGTAGGATGTGAAGGAAAATGTAGAAAAGTCAGAAAAACTTCTAAAGCAGTCTTTGTTAACAGCTCACTATGACACCACACAGTCACCGTGGAACATTAACTACACTGGCATATTAAACGTCAGTAGGCACCTCTTTGCATAATTTAAAATGTAAAGAAAAAAGGATGATTCCTTTCAATGAACATTTTTGTGAAGATATTATTTCATTTCTTGCACAAGAGAAAGCAAAATCGTAATGGACAATACTAATTTAGAGTGGACACAATTTTAAAAACCAAAGGGCCAACATATTTGAATTTTTTAACTACCAAACCCTCAGTAAGCTTTGACTTCTACCAAAAACACAGACCATAACCAACATTGCTGTCTTTTTAAAAAAGTGTTAATAATATTCCCCTTATTTTGCTCACTGCTTTTCTTCACCTTTACAGATGACATTTTTTAAACTATAAAATGCATTCTGCCAGCAAACCTCCTTGCTTCAATAGTTTGCAATTTTATAACAGTAAATCTACATCCTTGCGATTGAGACATCTACTATCTTCTGGTATGTGACTTTGAATGAGGCAGGGAACAAGCTATACATTTAAAAATCAATATCTAACGTTATCAATATTCATTTTACTTTGTCAATACAAAACACAAAGGTGAAAGAGCAGTAAATAAGCTAAAGCACTGAAATAAATTTGGTGTCCCTGTCACAATTAATAAATGTTCAACCAATAACATGGCTGACCAGTCTATAGCCTTATTAAGTGACTAAAATTATGCTTCCATGCTGTTGCTAAAACATAGTGAGTAAAATTTTCAATACTCTAATATATAAACATTATCTGATTCTGGGTTATTAATTTCATAGGGTACTTATAATCTTTCTAAAAATTAAATAATAATATTTACTTATACAAAGTCCCTGAATGGTACCAAGAGTTAACACCCTCAACTGCTAACTAAAGGTTGGTGCCTGAAGTCCATCTGGAGGTACCTCGGAAGAAAAGCCTCATGATCTACTTTCTGAAAAACCAGTCATTTGAAAACCACATGAAGTACAATGTTATTCTGACACAGATGGGGCAGCCAAGAATCAGAATTGATTACAACTGATTGTACTGATTTATTTATTTACATAATGTATTAGTGCTCATCTTTAAAGCCACAGATTGTTATAAAAACCCAGTTTGGGATTAGAATGTTAAAGTGTCTAATTATAGCTTTTTCTGAAAACTTTTTCTAGTAAATCCTTTCTAAACCTGCCTTCTCACTGAATAATATTTCACATAAAAATCAGGGGAGTTTATCATACAATATTCAGGCTGTCAGTCTTTTATTTATATTTCAAATGAGAGAGTTAGTGTATTTTTGCAGCTTTGATTTAATGTTGACTAAAGGCACCTGAAAGTATATCTCAAGTCAGTGTGTGTTTTGAGGGGCATGAAGAGATCTGTAAAGTGCCTGGAATATTCTCTTCAAAATAATTCTACATGCTAACTCAACTTCTAAAGTTTACAAATATAAGTAACTCATTATTGTGTGACTATGTTTTAAGAATTTGAAAATTATAATTTCAGAGGCAAAAGGGTCTAGGATTCATAACTAACAACTCATTACCAAAATGTATTCATGCAAAAGCCTTTCTTACTTGAGTTTAGATAATAATCCTCACCTTAGAGTTGATTCATTACTATTAGAAGATATTCCCATTAAAACTGAGGCCTTTGAAACAGCCTCATTCTCTGCCTCTTTGACAGGAACATATTTAAAAATGTCTCTGAAAATGAGGAACATAATCTCCTACTCTGCTGCTTTTTGAGTAAATTAAAAAGAATGTACTAAAAAATACGAGTTTTATTCTTTAAGGAAATGTCTAGTAATAAAATTCAAATCCTTAAACTGAAGAGAATCGCAATGTTTTGAAATAAAGTATCTGGAATATGTCAGTGTGAGCTTAAAGGAAAAAAAATGTTTTAGGCTAAAGTTTAATGTTTATATCTATACTCAGTATAAATGATTTTCTCTGATGCTACTGAGTTGTAACATCGAAATCACCTTGTAGAAATAATTATATTATTCTCTCCTCAGCCATTATGCGTTTCCTTTTCACTTCCCATATGTTCAGAGTGTTCAGACCTGACCTCAGTATTCTCTTTTCCTTATAGCTGCCACTAAGGTGCTTTACTGGTATATGCCTAAGATTGGTCTTGTCGTGTTTCTGTCACTAATGCTTGAATCACTGAAAGATAAGAGAAGTCAGGGGACCATTGAACTAGAATATGAATATTAAAGAATTCTACAGAATACCTGCTTTATGAGAGATCTGAATTGAGGAACTTGTCACATGTATTTGATCTAAAATGTAGCTGTAAGTTCCTGTATCAAAAGACGTATTAGAAGTATTTTAATGAATATTCTTTTCCTCAATATAGCAGTATCTAGCTAAACCTTCAATATTACAACATATAATAGTGGATTCCAGTAAACATATACAATAGGACAGTCTTCACACATATATTCTCATAAAGAGGCATAAGTACACCATCATGGGAAGAAAGTGGGTTTAGGAGTCACACAGACCTAGGTGTGAAGCCTCATCTGCCATTCAATAATTATGTCATCGTAGGTGGCTCACTTTACACTTCCCTCAATCTTACCTTTAAGATCTGTAAAATAATAGTTAGGGAGCTCTGGTGGTATAGTGCCTAAGGGATTTGACTGCTAACCAGAAGGTTGGTGGTTCAAATGCACCAGCCCCTCCTCGGAAGGAAGAATGGGCAATCTACTTCCGTAGTGATATGGCCTCAGAAACCCAAGGAGGGGTCGCTATGAGTCGGACCTGATTTCATGGCAGTGAGTTTGGTGAGGTAGTTCACCTAACACTTCCCTTAATCTGACCTTTATGATCTGTAAAATAATGCTAACAGCACCTAGCTCATACAATTGTTGTAAAGACACTTCCTGTTCTATAGTAGGTACCCAATAAACTCAATGTTGTCGAGTCAATTCGACAACCCCTTCTTAGGTTTCCAAGACGGTATCTCTACCTCTCTTCCTTCCGAGGAGTGGCTGGTGGGTTTGAACTGCTAGGCTTCTGGTTACAAGTCAAATGCCTTAGGCACTACACCACCAGAGCTTCTAGGTACCCAATAAGTGGTAAATATAATTCTACAAACACACTCTACATATAGGTGTTTCCTATTTCTAAATCCTGACAAGTTGATATAGCTAGGAGAGGAAGATCAGGTATTATACCTACAACTACACACAGAATTTCACAATGTACTTCCTTTTAGGGGACAACTACATTAGAATGTCTCAATTTTAAGTTATTCTTCAATTTTCTAGTGCTGAAGTATGAAACCAAACCAAAAAACAAACTCACTGCCCTTGAGTCAGTTCCGACTCATAACGACCCCTCCTTGGATTTCCAAGGCAGTATCACTATGGAAGTAGAATGTCCAGTCTTCCTTCCAAGGAGTGGCTGGTGGATTTGAACCGCCAGACTTCTGGTTAGCAGTCAAATGCCTTAGGCACTATGCCACCAGAGCTCCTAAACCCACTGCCATCAAGTTGAATCTGATTTGAGCATTAACTACACTGGCATATTAGATTGCACAACCTTCCTTCTGAGGAGTGGCTAGTGGGTTTGAACCTCCAGCCTTCTGGTTAGCAGTCAAGTACCTTAGGCACTATGCCACCGGAGCTCCAGGTCCCCTAAATAGAGAAAGAACATAAATGTTACATCTTTTATTTACTTTGAATTCCCCATGCCAAAAAAGCAAAACACTTTTTTCCTCTCACCGCTTTCTCTCTTAATGACAAAATCTTATTTTTATATTCTATAATTAATCATGGGAAGAAAACCACTTTTCCTATAAAAGATTCCCCAAAGTTAAGAGAAAGTTTGCAAATTTGATGGTTAAGGATCCCAGCCAAGGCTGTTACTTGTTGTAACTGATCAAGTCAAGTTCTGGAAACATTTTCTCATAGCCAGAATTTGCTGCATCACAAATGCATTACGGTTAACCACTGTTTATTCGTGTGTAAGTGTCTACATTTTAATCCCCAGTTGGCTTCTTCCTATCACTGATATTTATAGGTGTCTCCCTTACCAATGGTCTTGCACAAGAGTTTGCAATACATACTAACCTTATTCATATCCTTCACTACTAAGCTAGAGTCTCTACCTCTCCAACAGTGCTTACTTAATGTTCCCTCCAGTCTACAGTGAATTCTTTCTGTCCAGCACTTGTGGTTTTTCTTATTTCCTATGTTCATTAGAATGACATGTCATTAAAATGACATGATTTTTGAGGTGGAAATGATTGGAGATTCTTTATTCTAATGCTCACACCGTCTAAGTGAAAAAAAAAAAATGAAACTAAAATTTTTGTGGAGCTGGGACTAGAAACCAGATTGCCACATTTATAAGCCAGGTTTCCATCTATGACAATATAGGGCCTTGCATTTTAAGGCTGTTGCTATAATTCTGAATTTATTATTATTAATCTCTTCTGGGGTGATTTGCCTTTTCATATCTTTATGCCTTGTTTCCCCAATTAATCTGTAAATTTCTTGAGGTCAAAAACACAGCCTTTGGAGTTTTGTATTCTTTAATACTTCACACAAAGCCTTGCATTTGGACAGGTGTGTAGCAACTATTTAACTGATCACTTGAAAAATCTGTACAAAGAACATGCAATGCATCCTGATATCCAATGCAAATGATTGGTTTTCAATAGTTTCTTGCAACTGTGCCTCTTTTTCAGTGCAAGTGATTAAGAATTAGCTGTATTTTATTCTTGATGATTTACAACTTAACATTTGTTATGTTTTTTTTTTTTACCTGCTGTAGTAGGTCCAGGCAAAGGTGCAGCTTTTCTTCTCCGTTTGATATCTCCTGTGCATAAGGATCCTAAATGCATGCTTGTTTGCCTACAAGTAATTATTAGAAAAAACTATTAACAAAGGAGGAAAAAAAATGACACATAAATACACAGCTTGTATAATCTGAACCTAAATCAAAACATTCTCAACAAAGATAGAGCTGCATAGTAAAACCACCAATCTTGTTTATATCGAAACATAATTACGTTTGTTGACAAGCGTTCAGCAGCTAAATGCACCATCATAAATTGTTACTGGAATGAATAATATAAAAGGAATGCTTTTTAATTTTCAAAACTGGCAATCTTTCTGGCTCAACATAAAATCAAGCACTGTTGCTTCTGACAGGAAAATAGCTAAGATTAATTATCTAAAGAGATCACAATATTGTTGCTAGGTTATCAATTGGTTACTAATGCTTTACTGTCAGAACAACATTTATTACAGGAAAAGTATGATCAATTTCTTTTAGGATACTATGTGGCAGTAAATTCTCTTAAAACATGTAAAACAGATAGAAGGAAAACAGTGATGTTCTTCCTTATAACTCATATGATTAGAATTCTTTAATTATTTATTAGCCAGGTGAGGAAACATCATTTGAATGAGATAATGCTGGTCAACTGAAGGTAGCTGCTAAACAGGCTACCTTGGTATTGGGATATATTTGCAAGACATGATATAGAAGGACTGAGAAGTGGATCTTTTGCTGTCCTTGCAGCTAATTAGAATTAGATTTTTCTGTCTAATCTTGGATACTTAGAAAGAGTTTGGTGAAAAAACAGAAGTGGCTCAATTGGAAAGTAAGAAAAATACAAAGATGGAACAGATTTAAAGTCTTCAAACTTTTCAAGATTACAAAAGGTCTGTGTTTATTTACTCCCAGATCGTAATGCCTAATGTGGGGTTGGGATAGGGCCTGAGGATCAAGAAGCAGAAATAAATGAAGCAGATTTATCATTACCACATGCTTTTTCAGTAATTTTTGGAGATATCCTGAGGCTGAATAGGACTTCATTAGAAAACAACCCAATTATAGAGAAATAAATAAAAATTAATTCAAAAGTAAAAAATAAGATGTATATTTATATACATATTAAGATGTCTAAAGATAATGAAAAACTAGTGCTAAGGAGTAAATTACTTCAAATGTAGGTTCTATGTATTAGGCACAAAGTGAAATTGAATTATGATCTGGATAATCTAAGGGGTATAAGCAGCCAGATAAATATACCATAAAATTCTATCAAGACAGCAAACATATGTGGGTTATTTGTCTAAATTATATGTACTTTTTCTGTGATAGATTGTTTTATTCTATAACAGAAAAAAGAAAAGTAATTTATATTCATTAAAAATATATTTTTTAATTAGATCATTTAGTTAGTGACTAACTTTGCTCTGCGCTAAAATATATGTCAAAACGTCCATTAACATAAGTAACTCTAAACTCTTTATTGGGTTTTGAGGAGTGGTCTTGGCTCACAATGTCAAGAAATATGGATAGTTACCACTTTGTCTACCTTTTAAACTGTACAGGAATTAAATCTTAAAATCAAAATTATAGAGAAAATTTTCATTCATGGACTCAACCATTGTTTGTGAGTATCTACTACGACCTTGGCAAAATATTCCACAGTGCCACTGAAAGTGAGGAGGGTAGGAAAGAAGAGAAGGAAGTCACAAAGGAAATGGAACATTAAATTCCTATTATTGGAAGAGTTTAAACACCGTGTAGGGTGGTAAAATCATAAATATATGAAATAACTAGGGAGGGAAGTAGTGGTGTGGCAGGCACAACCAACTTTATTAACCATTATTAGCAGTTACAGTATTTAGTCCTTATAACAATTCTAAATATGTTGTATTGAACATACTTTTTATTTTCCTTTTCAAAATTTTCCAAAAGAGAAAATATTTCAATGGAAAATTATGCATTTAGACCACACCCTTCCAGGTTATTTGATTCTGATTCAACAGGAGCTTTTTTTACAACTCTAAATTGTAGCTAACTCTAAGTAATGCAAATTCTTATCCACAGACATGTACACGAATTCTTTCCACTAGAGGGACACTATAGGGGTCACTGTAAGTCAGAATCAACTTGATGGCAGTTAAGTTTGGTTTTGAGTTTGAGAGGGACAAACTTGCCTCTCTGGAAAAATCAGTTTGGCAGCCATTTGCACATTCATTTCAATACTTCTTTGCTCCATATAAGGAGCTCTGGTGGTACAGTGGTGAAAGCATTTGGCCGCTAACCAAAAGGTCAGTGGTTCAAATCCAGCTACTCTGTGGGAGAAAGATGAGGCAGTCTGCTTCCATGATTGACAGCCATGGAAACTCCACAGAGTAGTTAAACTCTGTCCTACAGGGTTACTGTGAGTCGGAATCAACATGAAGATAGTGAGTTTTTGGTTACTCCACATAAATCTGCTCCTTGGATTTTTCCTCTGAACTACTTATAAATATCTACCTGGTTCCCTCATTAATTCATCACCTGTTGCTGTTGTTGTTATGTGCCATTGAGTCGGACCCAACTCATAACAACCCCTCCTTGGGTTTCTGAGGCAGTATCACTATGGAAGTAGATTGCCCCATCTTCCTTCCAAGGAGTGGCTGGTGGGCTTGAACTGCCAGCCTTCTGGTTAGCAGTCAAGTGCCTTAGGCACTATGCTACCAGAGCTCCCAATTCATCACCTAAACTGAATTATTTTATATGCTCATTTTATATCTGTTTTAAGAGTTATGATTTTACCTGTTGCAAATGACTATCCTTCAACATGCCCGACTCCTCTAGAAACCTCTCTCTAACAGAAGACTAAAGTTTACCTTTCAGAATTATTAGGAACAGCTCAGGAGGAGGGGAAACTGCCACTCTGAAAACAGGAATAAACTGGGGGTCTGAATTCTGAAGACCAGGACTTCCATTACTGAGCTGCAACATCTAACCCACAGACTGTGTTTCTGATCCTCTTGCTAAAACATAGTAAGTATTCTTACAGTTTAAGCCATTGCTGGTTCTGGTTTTATATATCTATTGCTGAAAGTATCCCTAAGTGATCAAGAGTGTGTTCTGGTCAGAGAATTATGAGAAGTTCAGGATGTCTGGAGAGCTATGCTTGAGGGAAGGGATAATATAAGAAGACTGGCTAAGGAAGCTGGGGCTGGAACACAGAAGACATATATGTCATAGAGACACACCCCAGGAGGATGTTTGTACTTTATAGTGGATGCACACAGTCTTTAAAGGTCTTACAGTAGGAGAGAAAGCAGACCAGATTCATGGAATGTTGGTAGGGAGCTCAGATGGGCAGGGTTGAAACTGAAGACAGGGAGCCATCTAGGTTTGTAATAGTCTAGGCACACATTTCCTCCCAGAATATTCACCTCAGTAATAATAAGTAAAGAATACAAAGCTGTTAGTACACTGACTGGTTACTCAGTTTGTGTTAATGTATATGGGTAAGGAGGTGGGTAGGTGTGGAACTGCAGTCAGTAAGTGATCATATTTCTGGATTATTTTTTTAAAAATGAAGCCTGCTTTATCACTTTCAGATGCATTTAAAGCTCAAGCTAAGCTAAAAAAAATTATTAGTGTCTCTTAGGAAATACATTTTTAGAAATAATTAGGAGAAATAATTGAGTCAAAACATAGAAAGTGCTCATTGTGACTATTAATATTGTTGGTTTCTACTTCCATTGTTCTTGCGCTAGTTGTATATAATTGGAGTCTTCGAATTACATTAAAACCACTCTCTCAAGTCATTTTTATCTTTAAAACTTTATTATTATTATTTACACTATTCAACATGTGGTTAAGAAGGCCTCTTTACAAAGAACAAACTTCAGAAACAACTCCCTTTTCTAAACCTCTTTCTCATCCACTGGACCAAAAAGTCTCTTTTGAGTATCTTTGCAGAACAAATAATAATAACATTTTCACTCAACTCTTCTCCCCAACTCACAACACAGATACATAACAGATGAGACAAATGTTCAAGGAAAAAAAGGTAAAGTTAATAAAGTCAGAACATTGAACTCGAAGACCTGAGCCATAAGAAAAACAGCTAGCTGTATTTTAGTAATTCTATTAAGAATTGACTATCTGCTACAGCACATCGAGAAATCTGGATTATTGATCGGTAAGATTACCCCGTTTAGGCTTGCTCTCCTTCCTCCTTTTCTTCAGACAGGTGCACTGGAGTTACTACAATTAACGCTAAGTAAGGTTTACTCTGTTAATGTTGTCACTCTTAATGTAAAACATAGCAGTTATTTTTTAATTTAAAATCAATGAACGTCTGAAAGGCAGTCTTGCTTCTTCAGTATAAATGACTCGTTTGTCTTTGTAAAGCAGAACACCCGGCTTACCACTCAAGGTGATAGTATTTTTTTGTCTGATTTTTGTTGTGGGGTTTTGAAGAACAATTTATTATTCTATGAACAGATCCTCAATTATTAAAAAATACTGTTGAGATCCTTTTGTAAGGTGCTGTAAGGAAATTACCAGTCAACTCTATCAGTATCTTTGTTTCAGTTAGCTTTGCTTGGGGAGGAAAAAAAGGGACAGACCAAGATGTTCTCAAACAAATGTATATTTTTAAAGGGAAAGGATAAAGAAATAAGGTTCTTTCATTAGAATTGAGCACTGTCAGTTACCATTTTAAACATGGTTTCCCATATATTAATTTTGAAAAATTTCCTACTACATGTTAGAGAAGCAGAAATCAAAAAGAAGGGTCTTGTCTTTCTTTTTTTTTTTTTAACTGATTTCTCTTGGATTATTCCATTGTTTGCTGCAAGCTAGTCTTTAAAATGGTGTGAAGACAGGAAGCTGGGTGTTTTTACTGGAGGAAATATAGTTAAAACAAACAAACAAAAAACCCAATCAGGGAAAAAAATGTAGTAAGCACCGCCTTGCCTGAAAACTTGGCTTTTGACATGGAGTTGACAAGGACTGAAGCAGGCAGTGTCAAACAGAATAATTTTAAAGAGAAGACAATAGGAACTTGTCTCTTCATCGAATGCACTTACAAACAGAGGCTTTT